AATTTAACAAGAACATATCATGACATGTATTCTACATCCTGTAAAGCCAATGGATTATGGAGAGTGGTTGAGAAAGTAAAAAACATATAAAGAAAGGCATGAGTGAACTGGAGAGTGGATATATACTATATAAGGACCAATGTTATTGGAGAGCGGAGGTAATATTACATAATCTGCAGCTTTACCGTTGGCTCCCCTGCTGACACAGTATTGATTTGCTGAACTGGAGGCGTTAGTATTTTCCTTTTTAAACATGCCAGCTGACTGCTGCAGGGAGCAGACTCTCAGGCCTGTGACGTGAAAGCTCCTGCTGAGAGTGTATTTAAAGTGAATATATTGTTGTGTTTTCTCTGGCAGATTGCTTCCTGTTGTTCCAGTATTTCTTGACAGCATCAAGTGCTGCGACACAGCCAGGCCATTTCAGCGACAATCCACACATATCCAAAAAAGGCATCTCTCCCAAATTGCTTCTAAAAGTGTATTCACCTTGAAGTATTCACCCTCTGACTCATCCTCATCTGGGTCTTTCAAAAGCGCAAAATGACTACAAGAAAATCACTCGCTCTCCTCTATGAAGATTGCTTGTCTTATTTTGTCAGAATCATCCTGAACTGTATTCAGCTGTTTCAGCCTGCCTCGGATAAAAGCAGGTATTGAACTTCATTGATAACCGTGTTGGCTTTATAGGGAACAGAAGAAGAAAAAATAGGGGAGTGAGAGTTGTCTGCATCTGCTCTGTGGTGCGAAAATGAGGAGGCAAGCTCATTTGTGAAGGAGAGGCCGCACAAACAAAAAGGAGAAGCTGCCGAAGCTTATTATGTAATCCAGTACCTTCTTGCTTTTTTCCTTGAGATACGCACGCAAATGTACTGACCTTGAATGCAAAATTGCCCACCACTGTTTGATCAAAAATGCTTCCTTCCATCTGATAAGTTGAGAAATCATAATCTTCTGTTCTGCCTCAAAGCGGTCCACAGAGCCATCACTCTGTATGCAGTGTTTTTGTTGAGCACCTGAACCCTCAGCACCACCCTGGGGGGAACGCCTCTGACTAATCCCCGAGGCTTTCTTATCAAGTGTGATTGAATAGAGCCCTCAGTCCCCAGTAGACCGCCTAACCTTTATCTTCCCTATTTTCTATTTCTGCATCTCTTTCTTTCCTCTCCTCAACAAGGTGTTTGTGGGAAAAAAAATGGAGACCTGTTAACTGTTTACACTCTCCAATATGCACGATGTTTCCCCAAAGGGCGTACGTTTGAAACATGAAAGGCTCCTTACAAAATGGGAAATTTCCGCTCCATTAGCCATGCAGCCAATCAGTGCGCAGTGACCCAGATAAGGAGTGTGATATTGATGATGACAGCAATAAAGACGTACTTTCACCACAAGCCTTCCTTCTAATTAGGTTGATCTGCAGAGAAAATAAATGAATTTTGACAAAATGCAAAGGAGGTGGTGTGCAGGAAGGATTAGATGGCGGAGTACGACAGGAGGATTGGAGGGTTTCTGGGGGTTAAGTGGCTCCACTGTCGGAGAATGGGCATCAATTACCGGTGAAATGAGATTCTTTTGCTGCAGGTGCCTCCTAAATACTGTACGCTGTTTGCTCTAAGTAATTGTTTGGGGTCAATTGTTGATACTCATTGATGGTGCTCTGGTTTTGCCTCCTCTGACAGTGTATACGCTGTTCAGACTGTTTAAGGCTGCACTCTGTCCTGTTTGTTATCAGAGAAAATGAAGGGTGACTGTTTACTGGAGAGCATGGTGCAGTGATGACTGGAATTCAAGACTAATAGCTGTAGTTTGTATGCAAATACAAGAATGTTTTGTTCTGGTTCGTGTACACATTTTCAAGTGCTCTAGTCAACTTCTCCGGGAGAAGCATTTACAGTGGTGTATGAAGTGCCTGGAAGTCATACTTGAGTAAAAGTACAGATATTGCTCCAGAAAATAATTGCAGTTAAAGGGTTTAACAGGCAATTTCCACTGCATTCGGAATGGCTACGAAAAGGCCGTACCCGCCGATTATAGCTGATCTTAACCTTGAAGTTAATGTGTCAATTTCCACTGGGCTTTGTTCCGTTCTGCTGCGGATCGCTGGACTCTGCAGCTGATCGCAAGAGTTCTATTTTTTCCAGATGCCGGCGCATGCTGCATAAATTCAGCACAGATTAACCTGTGCTGGAAAGGAAGTCGGGTACAGACACAAAATAAAACATCCAGCTTCTTTTCAAAATAAAACACTCCGTGTTTCAGGTGGATCGTATTTCACAACATGCAGACAGGCAGAGATGAACAAGTGAAAGGTTTATAGTCAGCATTTCATCCCGATGACACCATGGATGAGGACATGCTGATTTTATAAGTCTAGAAGTGGATTTCCTCCTCTGGAAGGACACAATCTACTGCTTCTATGGTTAGCCTGTGTGACAACTTGTTAACGCGCAATTGCATGTGAATCCGCGGGTTCTTGTGCGTTCTCGTGATTACTGCTGTCCGTAATCCACCACAAAATTCGTCTCACAAACTGATCCGGTAGGAATTGGCATACAGCAAAAATCGCCACCGTTCCGGATCAGATCCATTCCGGATGCTGTGGAAATCCTGGGTAAGTCTTCTGTTTGAAAATTACTTTTTGTCATTTGTGCTTCGAACAGCATATTGATAATCATGAGTTATCAATATGCTGAGAATATTTCACACCTGCAATTACTCCAAAATTCAGCTGCACAGTAGCTAACAAGGACCAGAAAGAGAGACAATACGACACCGATTTTAAGGTTTCTGCATTGGCTACCCGTTTCTTTTAAAGTGTTTTAGCATTTATCTCTTTCTAGCTTTAATGACAGGGTTGTCTTTTATTGAGCTATTTGGCGCTCTTATTTTAGTATATTTTACTGTTCTTTTTATTTCATTATTTACCATTTCTTAGATTTTATTCTATGTTACTTTGTTTTAGGATTTTAAACTAACCTCCAGTGTTTCCTTATTTTGAATTTTAAAGTGGCATTTCCTCGGTGCGCACATTCCTGTGTCTATGAAATCAAGCTCTTTTCAAGTTCATGCATTTTAATACATGTTTTTGTTGTACTTAGATTGTGGGGCGGGAATGAGGGGTTGGGTTGAGGTAGATTTGGGTATTCTTTGTTTCTTTTATTCTTTTTTTTATGTGTGTGTGTAAAGCACTTTGTGAAACATGGTTGTGTATGAAAACTGCTATTGAAATAAAGAATGATTGATTGATTGATTGATTGATTGATTGATTGATTGATTGATTGATTGATTGAATTATGAACAATTACCCAACTGTTAAACATCAGTTTTAGTTATTTGTGGTTCTGACTTAGAGTTTAAGTCAGAGCTGAGTTTGAATTATAAAAGAGCGAGGATGTACCATGACAACCAGTACCTGCTCATCATCTCTCTGAGAGTAGTTAACTGACATAAAGTCATCGCATCTTATTAGTTAGACAAGATAGATATATGCGATCACTATCCATGTAACGATTGTCCTTTCTGGATACTTTAGATCTAGAAGGACTAATAGAGTTTTGGATCATAAATCTGTAATCGTTGCACTCTGGCAATTTATTGAAATTCCAAATACACAACTGTTCCTTAGAAATAATAACTAAACATATACCTCACATTTGCTGCTATGATTAAACTCATAATTAATGATCAAAGTTTCAATGTGACCATATTTTTTTTACAAGGGCGCTCTGTTTACCTCTCATCATCATCTCTCTCTCTTTCACCAGCACCCGCTGTCTGTCTGTCTGTCTGTCTGTCTATCCCTCTGAATTATCCAGCCTGCTGTGTAATCTGACAACAGTGCACTAATCAAACATTAGCATAAAACCACATAGTGATAAAGAGTGATGTACAACATCTTATTGGTCAACATTTAACCTGGGGTCCAACTTTTTACCCCAACTGCTGTGAAACTATCCTGAAAGATGGAGATATCTTCTTTTGGTGTAACTTGGCTAACTTTGTGGCAGCCTTATGCTCTTCCCTGCTGGAACTTCAAGTGCATGTAGTTGGTAAGTGGTGTAGTGAGTGAAAGAGAGAGAAACAAAGTGACACTGAATGAAGCCAAGCAGAGGACGAGAAGCAACAGTTTTTGTCTTCAAATTCTTCTCAACTCCTCTTCTTTTTATTGAAGTTTTTGAGCCAGTTAACGCACTCGATATATGATTGATTATATGGACATTGTCCAGTTACAAAATATCCGAAATTATAAAACTACATTTTCTGCCGGTTCATTTAGTAAGACAGATTTGCGGGAAAATGTGTCAAAGTAAAATGTAGCGTTAAATGATTTCTGGGAGATATGACTGAAAGAGTGCAAATCAATGTACACGGTGTTGGAGGTGTTGGCAGATGATATTATCTGAGCCTGGTGAGCTATTAATTATATTAGTATTAAAACAATAAAACTTTTATTTGTAATGCACTCTGGAAAGCTGGATTAAAAAGCCATCAGGTAGATAATACAACACAAGGGCTTAAAAATCAAGCAAATAAAAGACAGTTACACCAGTCTTAATAAAAAAAAAAAAGGAAACCGAAACAGAAAAAAAAGATTAAAATAGCACATCACTGAAAGCTTTACAGCAAATTAAATTTTCAGTCTAAGTTTAAACAAGAAATTAGGCAGCTTTAAAGCTCAGACTGGAGGCAGAAATATTGCTGCGTTCTAGTTGATGGTGTTCCAGTAAACAAGCCGAAAACCAAGATGGACGCCCACTGTTAGCTGTTGTTTACAATTGTCAGCTTTTGTTAGCGGTTGTCAGTTGCTGTTAGTTGTTGTTAGCTATGCCAGTTGTAAACAATGCATAACACAGTATTTTACTCTTACAAACACCATAGCACCGTGTTTACAGTTAGACGCTGGGCAGTACAACATAGACTGTTTATTTAATTTCACAAAAACAAAACAGAAGCGCTAATAAATAATACATTATGAGAGCTTTTATTGTTAATCTTTTCTGTTGATGCACTGGGCTGCCATCTTGGATTATGACATTGTCGTCAAGTCGGGGAAGGTGAGGATTGCCACCTTTCGGAGTCAGAAATCTGACTTCAGGGGGGCGTTCCAGATGAATCTCCTTACTCAGAGCTTGGAAATACCGACTTTCAAGTACAACTGGAACAACCTTTTCCCAGTTTTATTGGTTGGTCTTCTGGCTCACATGAAAGGTATGTGTCGTCAAGTGTTTGGGGCGCTTACATGTCAGTTTCTTTTTAAGAAGAGTTACGATGCTGTATGTATGTAATACATGCATAAAATGTAACCATGTTGGAAGTACACACCACACTCTGTCTAAGTTTAATGATGGTGACACACACGCACAGAGAAACTGGATTAATCCCTGGATCCTTGAATGGCTTGCTTCGTTAATCATGGGAGACTTGTCCTGAACCTGATATCAGGCTCTTCCGTCCTATTAGGACAGAGTCGCAGCTGCAGCTCTTTCAAGGACACACTCACACAGAAGCTGCTCCTAATTCTCCCTCAACTGGAAAGTGCACTTCATCGTTCAGCTTTTCCTCTGCTCTGCACCTTGTTGATTCACAATGTCTCAGAAATGTGTTATTTTGGTTGTGAAGGAAAATCACAGCTGTAATAACTGTCCCAGACTGAGAAATTGAAAGGTGAAAATTAACAAAGGTCTCCTCTAAGATATCAGAATACTTTTTGTTGAGACTCCGCTTTAGTAACATGTCTTGCTTTGAATCCAACCATTTACAAACTTTGTATTCAGGGATGGCCAATAACAGGGAGGAAGTTTTTCTCGGGTCAAGACAACCTGAAGAGACAGGTCTCAAAAAAACAACTTAGTCAATGTTTTACCCTGCTATGACTTCATCTCGGCTCCATCTCAGTCAAACAGTCTTAGTAATGACTCAGCCTTGGTTGAGATGTTTTGACTACGACAGAAATCTCCAAATCCTGTTTGTTATTGCAATTGGCGGAGTCTGCATTTTCTGTTCCCATCAAAATGTACCACAAAGAGACTGTGTGTTCATATTTTTTCCCCACAGATTCACCCAGTCGGATGGTTCAAACTTTTCTGCAGAGTACTCATAATTTATAAAAAAAAAACTTCTCCGACAAATACAGACGAAATATCATTACAGCAATAACTCTCCAAGCTGAATTCTCCTATGTGTTATACGTTTTTATGCGAGGAATAAAAGAATGGGGACAGGTGGTGATAATGTTTCCCTCCTCAATTTATTCATTTATTCACTGCGCCCTAAAAGATGAACTCCTCACACACTTTTCAGATTGTCATAATGGTGGCTGGGATTCTGGCCAGAGTGGACAGGAAGCAATCAAGCGAGCAAGCAAGGAAGGAAGTAAGGAGGTCAGCGGCAGCAGAAGTGCCAGAAGGAAGAGTCATGCACGGCAGCGCTGGAATACCAACCTGTACACCTCCTCCGGTGGTGAGGAAATCAGGGATCCACATCGAGGGGAAAGATGGGGGATGACACCCCACAGCAATCCTCAGCATACTCAGCAGGTGTTGACATCTAGATTAACCTTGGACTGCTGTGAGTCCAACTCCTCTGGTCTTATTAGAATGCACACAGACAGTGTGTGTCCAATCCCCGGCTCCTAAAGCTCTCTGGCACTGCCCCTCATTCACTGGGCCGTCAGTCAAAGGGTCAGCAGAGCAGCGCTGCAGGGAGTTGGAATACCAGGAAGCTGCCTCAGACTTTATCCCAAGACTAACTGTGTGTCTCCTCACTCGTATTACCTCGACTCCTCCTACTGGAGCTTGTTGAGGTCATTAATGAGGGAGAAACACCTCAAGGTAAGCCCAGTATGTAGAACTTAACCCTGAGAAATGTAATGTGACCTTGTGGTTATCTCGCTCTTAAAAGGAACTCAACTCATTTCTTCTTCTGAGAGATTTTTATGACCTTAAAAAAAGATAAAATCTTTGGATGCATCCTCATTTTGAGAGATAATGTCACCCAAACCCTGGTTTATCAAGGCAAGCTCAACTCTGTGGCGGACCTTTTAGCATTACTTTACATTAAGGGCCTGATCTACTAAGATCCAAAATAGCAAGCGCTAAATTGCATGTGCAAACTAAAATATTGCATGTGCTATTAGTGGGCGTGTTGCGGGTGATCTACTATCATTGTGTGTGCAATTGATAGCAGGAGCAAAAGGGGTGCGGACCGCCCTTTTTAAACGGGGATGGTGTGTGCACTATCGCCTGTCAACATGGACAGTTTGTGAGAGCAGAGTGTTTGAAGCCATGGAGTTGCACAAGTCATTTTAGGGAACTGCAAAAAAGGCAAGGGAAGTTTATTTGTACAGCACCATTCATACACAAGTTAATTCAAAGTGCTTTACAGATGCAAGAAGATATACTAGAAATCAAAAAAGGGGTTAAAACAATTTAAAATCAATAAGACAAACAGATACGTGTTTATGTCTGTTTCGTGTTTGACCTTATCGTTTATAAAAGTCGTCTTTTACCGGAAAAAGGAAATAAATCACAAGCTTTTGGACAGGGATCATGGCGTGTCTCATGGCACTTCTGCATCCTTCTCCCCGCAATGATTGTTCATAGTGCTGCTCCTCTCAAGGTCGTCCTCAGATGAGCCTTCCATCGTCGCTTCCAGTCATCCTGATTCTCCATACATCTCGCCAGTTCGTTGGTACTCTGAGCTCCTGCATCCTTCTTGAGTATGTCCACATATGTTAGTGTAGGACGTCCTCTTGACCGATGCCCATGTGTTGGTTCCCACAGCACCAATTTGCTGGCTGGCAGTTCCTGGTGCCTTTGGCAGTGTCCTTAATCTCCTTGCTCACCCTTGGTATTCCCGCGTACAGTGTTCTGTTGGTTACATGTGCATTCTTGTTGATGCTAAGCACTGCACGCAACATCCTGGTGTAGCACCCATCTCCAGGGTTGGCTTCAGAATCCAGCATTCACTGCCATAGAGGAGAACGGACGCTACTGTCGCGTAGAAGAAGCCGAGTTTGATTTGGCGGGGGAGGTTGGAGTTTCATACACATGCTGTTCAGGGCTCTCCATGTAAGTGCCTTCCTCACTTTTAGATCTTGTTCAGTTGAGTTGACCCATGAGCCCAGGTATTTGAAGTCCTCAACTTCTTTCAGCTCCAGTTTGCACGTGCCTTTCAGATGCAAAACAGCGACCGCAATCGGTTTCGGGGTCTGATAAATCCCATTGCGGGTGCTAAATGATTTCATTTGCATCTGCTCCTCCAAGGATTTGCACGTTTTGATGATCTACATACATTCTGCATATTCATAAAGGCAAAAATGCTAAATCGATTGCGTGCGCTGTTTTGCTCATTTTACAGACGCAATCCTCTGTGCACCCGGTTAGTAGATCAGGTTTGCATGCGCTACCAAGTCTGCACGTGTTTTTGAACACGCAAACCTTTAGTAGATCAGGCCCTATGTCATTTCTGTGTGGCTTTTTAATAACTGACAGATTTCGTCTTAATTTTTCAACTGGATTGCCTTAAAACACAAATATAAGCTTATTTTTAAATATGAATAGTATTTCTTTCTGTTATCCATTAAAGAGCAGCATTTGACCAATATTGGGCTTTCAGGGCTGATACAGACTATTAGAAGTCATAAGATCAATAACTAATAACTTTGGAACTGATATACACTGACAATAAAAATTGAAGAACTTTAGGGAAAAATTAAGAATTTGGAGTACTAAGCAAAAGTGTAATCAAATCTAAAAATCTCAACATTAAATACAAGAGTAAACACCTTTAGCCACTGTGACGTGTAGCTAATCACAAAGTGTTGGCAGAACATTAAGTGAGACATAGTTGGTGCAAGAAAACAGTCCCAGAGGGAAAGACACATTAGCAGCAAAGTCAAAGTAGAGTACTTTAAACCAATCTGTCATCTGTACAATAAAAAAGGCAGATAGAGATAATGGCAGGTAATCAGTCTACCTCTATTTGGGAGGGTTAGGAGTCCAAAATTTTTCAATGTTCAATTTACAATATGCAAAATACCATGATGAGGCCACCAGTGGCCCGTTTCACTCCAAATTTGCACAACCATTAACCAAAAAAAGAAGTTTGATGTAACTGCCTCAAGACTAAAAACAGTGGTGGGAACATGAGGGGCACAGCTGGTGGAGATGTTAAACTTACACATCCAAAGACGTCCCAGGGGCAACCAGCTTTTACTGCCAACTAAAATTAAATTAGAGGATTTTCAATATAAGTTTTTATCCATTGGTCTTTGTTGGTCTTATAGATAATACATACTGCTTTGTCTGTGGGAGCGCCACAGTAGACAGAATTGTAAACTTCCTGACAGGAGCTTCAGACCTAAAGCCTGGACCACAAAGTGGGGTTTAGTGTCAGTGAGGAAACTTGAGGGTTTACTCTAGACTACATCACCTTTCAGGATTACAATATTGGTTTCCAGGTGAATCGTCATGGTAACTTTCATTGCACCGGGCCATGTCAGGCCTCAAGGTAAGAGGTCAATCTGATTAAAAGCACTGACTCTTCACCAATCAAATCTCTTGATCACAGAGCTTGATGCTCAGATGATGAAACAGCAGGAGTGTTGAGAGACTGACCAAACCCTTGAGTTTCTGTATGAGCTTTTGATATGAGAAACCCTCATTCTTCTTTTACTCATTACCTCAACAGAGAATTATTGAAGCTCTAAAGGTTTATATTTTTAAAAGAAAGACATGAAAACAACCCCTCCTTTCAATATGGATTATATTTAGGCCTCCATATGTATTTCCTATTTTCTGTTTTTAATACTTCAGGGGCTGCAGCTGAAAGAATACGGCTTGACATACACTACAAGAAAACATATAAACTAGCCTACAAATTAATGCAATTCACATATGAAGTCATTAGTGAATCGACTTTTGCTTTAATTATTGGGCATAAAGCTTAATTAGCACTTTCAAACAGTCAGATGTTGGCAGCTTCAGCTAGGTTTGCTTTAAGCATGGCTAATTACCTTGAAGCCTTTAGATTATCCTACTTTACTGTGAGCTCACTTGTTCATGTTAGAGAGCCGTCTAGTTTTGTGATCATTGTGTGAACTAGCTCATGAAGACCCTGCGTTGACTCAATAGGGTCAGAAAGCTGAAAGATTCCCAGATGTTGAACTTTGAACTTTTATCAAGTCTGTTTTATTCAGACAGGGAATAAAAAGTGTAGATAAATGTAGATAAACTAAGGAGAGTTTGTCTGGTGTATTAATGCTGTGTTCCACTTACCTCTGAAGTCAGATGTCGGAGCTGGGATTGACGTTACACCAGAGTTGACGGCGTACCAGTAAACAACTTGAAAAACCAAGATGGACGCCTACCATTGTTAACTGTTGTTAACAATTGTCAGCTTTTGTTAGCCATTGTCAGTTGTTGTTAGCTATACCAGTTGTAAACAACGCATAACATAATAAACATAGTGTTAATAAATAATACATTACGAGAGAGCTTTCACTGTTACTCTTTACTGTTGATGCACTGTGCTGCCATTTTGGATTATGATGTTGACATCATGTCGGGGCTGGTTAGGATTGTCTGACTTTATTTCCGACTCTGAGCTTAAAAATCCGGATTTCCGAGTACAAGTGGAACACAGCATAACACCAAGCAAAGTGACACAATTACTGTGTGTGAGCGAATCAAAGTATTTTACCACTAACGTCAGAAAGGCACTGACTGGGCATTTGTATTTTATGGGCGAAAGCATAAATAACAATGACTTTGGTTTAAAATAAGATGACCTGGATTGTCAAAGGTAGCTTTTTCAGGCTATTAAACACAACTACAGGCTCACATTAAATTTAGTCTTAAAATATTATCATGCTCCACAACTCTCTCTCAGTCTGTTATCAGCCCGTAACACCATGATATCATTACAGTTACATCAGCACCATGGACAGCGCTACAACAGCTTTTCAACAACAGGAGAGGCTCTGAGGACATGACTCTGCTCTCTCATGTCCATTACTCAACAGTGGCAAAAATTCACTTTATTCCACCAAATATTTCACCATCCATGGACTAGAACCCTTTTTATGGAACCATCTGAAAAAACAACTAATACTGAGGTTTCCACCTACACTGATAGTGGCAGGAAAACAGTTTACACACATATCTTACACTGAAATGATGGGACTGATGCCCTCAGTGACAGACCTGATACCACCATCATCTCTATGTCTGACACAAAGACGGAGTAAGGGACTTGCTTTGTTTTAGTGGGGGCTTTCTGCTTCAGCTTTGATTGCCATGTACATCCAATTAAAATCTAATTACAGCAATAAATGATGGCCAAATTAAAAATAATAATAATCACAATAATGGTTAAGGGTGTTGCATGATGTTTTTATTGCATATCAAATTAAGAGGCAGTTGGCCCAGTTCTATTTCTGTACCACCTCCGGTTCACGT